GCCCCGCGACCTATATCCTATAGGTGATTGAAGAGACGACGGAAAATAAATAAATATTTAATCGTAAATAATTAGCTGCGTAATCGATTGTGGAAGGCAACATTGTCGGGAAAAACCGTGCGACAAAATGTTACGGCGGCTCGAGCGCGTAGGACAAAAACGAAAGACCAATATAATAATAGATGCGTTTCGTGATTCGAATTTAAGAAAAAAAGTTGACGACAGAGACGAGTGGAAAAATCTTGGTAACAATCTGAGGATGAGTGATAAAAAGAGAGAGAGAGAGAGAGAGAATCGAATATAACGCTGACAAATACAAAGGATGAGTTATAACTCGTATTCCAGTCCAACTCGATATACTATACAGCAGGGGCGGGCACAACGAGGCTCGCGAGCCGCACGCGGTTCTTAAATCAATTTCGCGGGTCTCTTGTACCGAACTCGGACTAAAATTGGTAAATATATAATTTCACTAGAACCATCAGACAGTGGTTTTCATTTCTGTCGGTTTCGTTATCATTGCAGTCGTTACTAGGCATAGATTGGCACGGCAGCGGCGGCGACGGAGCTCTTAATATTATGTGTAGCCAAAAATAATCAATGGGTGCTTCGACCACGCCAGAGTTCCTTCATTTGATTTAAAATGAAAAATGTATCTTCATTTTATAAACATTGCTTTACAATGTGGCTCACCTCGAATCAACTTTATAAATTTGCGACTCCCAAAGTTGAGGGTAGTGGCCACACCTGCCATATGTACCGTTAAGATTTGTTTTTGTTCTGATGACTTCAATAGTCTAATAATATAATTATGAGGGATACTCTTAAATATATTTTATAAAAAACAGTGACTCTGGACCTCTTGCACCCCCTCGTGATCCAGACTAATTAATAATGGGTACGCTGCAAGTCACGGACTTCATATTTCCAATCGTCTGTCGTCGTCGCTGTCAAAGGGATGTTCTTTATAGCCATATACGTGCGATTTCGGACGACCTAAACTAAACGTAAAAAACAAAAACATGTAAAACAATCGTCCGCCGCCGACGATCGCGTGTTTCGCTCGCGACCTATTAATTACAAAGCGAGTTTTTTGACGTCTCCCCCCCCCCCCACACGGGGTCGGGTACTCCACATAACAGTTAATTATGATATATTTATATTATTTTTTTGCGCGGTAAACCATACGTGTTCGTAAATCTTATCTCTACACGTGATATCGTCGTCATCGGTCGTCGCGGACGGCGGCACAACTGCAATATTTATTATGGATACGACACCACAATAATATTATTATTATTATTATGTAAATAGACGTTTCGAATAAAACCTTCGAAAAGCGAATGACGTGGCAGAGACTCGGCGTTGCAGGTGCCCCATCGAAAATAAACGCGTACACTACATATATATTATATATAATATGTGCATGTAGGTAACCATACCTACCGCGACCGCGTTGCACCTGCCGGTTTGGCACGATACGTTGCGGTTTGAAAACACAAAAATATATACATATTGCACCTCGTTTTGAGTATCGCACACGATAATAAACCATCGTATCGTGCACTACATCAGTCGGACATGTAGTCCGATGCCGCGTGTGCACAAGAGTACATTACACTTTGTGACGGGGAGATGTGTGCGATGCGATACAAGCGCGCGTAACCGTCGAAGCGAATATTATACATATTTTATAATCATATAGTTATAATACGGTCGAAACAATACGACGAGAAAAACGAGAAAAATAATAATAAACGAAAATATTATAGAAAGGATGTGTCCGTTTACACGATGGGTGCCTTCGCATTGTATCCGATCGTGCGGTGTGCGCGATAGGTGCACATGACGTGTACAGCACGAACACCGTAAACGCGTAATCGATTACGCCCCCGCGCGATCCGGTATACCGCTGACCGGGTATAATATAGGTAATACCTGGTTTTTACGCATATATATATATATATATAATATGCAGCGCGGTAATAATAATACTACGATTATTAGACGCATTTACCGAGCTGCTCGTTCCCATGCGCACACATGACGCGTACCCGCAGCCAGCCACATAATCGTACGCATAATATAGACTATAATAATAATAACAACGATAATATTATTACGACGATCGTATTATGTATACACGCGCGCGTAGTACGGTATCGCGGTATAAACCAATTATACATGTTTACTATACCGCCCGACGACGGTGTACCTATATGCAACGTTGGTTTCACGTGTCACGACTAACCCTTAAATTACAAACCGTCCTATGTGCGGCGAGTATAATATTATGTAGTATTCAAGTACGATATACCGGATGATTCTCATTGCACTCTCATTTATTCGAAAAACATATAAATGATTTTGAATACGATTTATTTATTTATTTATTACAGTCGTCAAAGTACAAAACATTTTTAAAATGTGTACACATATATTATGTTTTTATCCTCGACGTTTTTCAAGATTTGTTTACTCTAAATATATGTATACATTTATAAAATAAAATAAATTAATCTTTATATTTTTTTATCTTCTAAATTTGCAATGCTCATAACTCGTACACACGTACTACTCGTCCTAAATTCCATGTGTATGTACCGAAAAAGTCAGAAAAATATATTCTGCTTTCGAAGACGAAAGTATCGAAACCGCAAGTTATCGTACTAAAAAACCGGCCAAGTGCGAACCGAACTCGCGCACGAAGGATTCCGTACCATTATCTACAAGAACGGCAACAAAATCATGTCTGTTGTATGGGAGCCCCACTTAAACATTTATTTTATTCTGTTTTAGTATTTGTCATTAAAGCGGCCACTGAAATACATCATCTGTGAAATTGTATTCTCACTTTTCAGATAGTTCTGATAAAATCTACTGCTCAATTCGAAACTGTACCCATAAAGGGCCATTTTAACTAAAGAAATTTATTTGAAGAAGGAGAAAAAAAAATATTTATTTCTGAAGTAAATAATATAAATCAATATTCTGCAAATATTTCAAGCGTCCACCTGTTGCCGCTATATAAATATTCAGCAAAAAAAAACGAGTAAAAAATCACGTTTGTTCTATGGGAGCCCCCTAAAATATTTATTATATTTTATTATTAGTATTTGTTGTTGTAGTGGCGATAGAAATACGTCATCTGTAGAAATTTGAACCGTCTAAGTAGGTATCACGGTTCATGAGATACAGTCTGGTGACAGACGGACGGACGGACAGCGAAGTCTTAGTAATAGGGTCCCGTTTTACCCTTTGGGTACGGATAACCCTAAAAATGATGAAAACTTTCAAAATTATAAGGATAAGAAAAACTTCGTCTTGCGACTGCTTGAAATCGTGTGAAAAAAATGTTAACAAAAACATTGGTACTGTTTGAACAACGACACGACAAATGAATCACCCGGTATACGTAGTGCTCGCGCGGTAATCGGTATACGGTTATAAAGCTCGTTGGAAACCTTTTGTCGGGGGGGGGGGGGGGGTTACGCCGCCGTCGTAGTCATCGTCGTAGTAGTAGTATATGTATAATAGTCGTGCATGGCAATAATTATTATATTATCGTTTGGGTAAATGCAGTGGATCCGTTCTTGCGGTCTCCGAGCTTCCCGATTACACTCGCCCGGTCGCGCGACAGCAGCTACATAATACACGAGTATGATATTATTATTGTGAACTGTTGTGGGTATTATAGTATTGTCTATAATAATAATACGCCGCCGTACAGGCCGATTATTGTTTGTATTCAGTAGTGGTGGGTAATGTTATTGTAACAGCAGTAGACAGGCAGGTAGGTAATAATATTATTATCTTTTTATCGATTATTATCTATCGGACAGGTTGGGGTAGTCGGCATCATTATTTAAATATAGCGTTACGCGTACTTACATATTATTATTTTTATCGTTATTATGTACGCGATTGCACCACACCATTACTGCACCAGATTTTCCACGATCCGATAATGTTATAATTGAAAACTACGACGGCACTATAATAATCATAATAATAATAATAAGGAAGACGGCGATGTGGGCGTGCGGGCGATTTCGCTGCGACCGGTTTTAAGTTTTTCGATTTATTTACGACCCGCGTATTTCTGATTTCTTTTTTTTGATTCGACAACTATAATAATACACAAGCACGGTAAAATAAAAAAAAACAATTTTAATTCTAGTCTATAAGAGATTAGAGATATCGATAAGATGTGATAATACGATATATTGCCAGTTTTATTTATATTTTAAATTTATGGATTTTAAGACGTATGAACTATTTATTATATAAATGAATATCTATTCGATATATAACATTTCCAAAGAGGGGTGGTATACGACCATTGACCTCCCCTCTGGATCGGCGTCTGATTATACACGCCTATGCGACTATATCTGAACAAGGTATAAGAATCTCGTTGCACTTGGTTCGCACATGGACCTCTATCTGCCCTCACAAGGATATCGATTAAGTCTGTTTCATTTCGACTAAAATGCATGTGCTGCAACACTTGCAACACTTGTTAACATAAGAATACATTTGTTGCCATGGTTGGATTAGGTCACTACAATTAGGAACTTGATTGTTTTAACTTTGAAAAATATATTAACTCGTGGTAACAGCAACAAATTAAATATAGAAAAAAAATCAAAATTTTTATGTATAATGGTCTATACCTATGTCCTATATATTAAACGTTATGCCTATTTTACATTTGAGAACCTACAAGTAATATTATAAAACTACCTCGCTCTCGAAGAAGATTTTAATCTACTTCTGGAGGTGGAAGTTCAACAAAAAATACGTTGAATCTAACCCGGTTAGTCAATAATATTATATCAATAACTATCTTAAAAACGACCTTTGGTACTAGAACGTAGGTGCCAATGTACATCACGAGATAGTATTTAAAAGCTCTCAGTGCAATTAATTTCGTTTTGACATTGATTTATTACTACCTTTTTTCTACAGAATTTACTTTTTGTTGCAGTGACTTTTTTTTTCAACGTTCATATATTACACACTCTCCTTGGCATGATTGCATTCGGCCAACAACAAGCTGATCAGCTTGTATGCTGTGGGATCGTTGGTGGAACAGCCCAAGACCGACAGGTTGGTTGCTAGGCACGTAAAAACCGTATGTCCTTCGAAAGCGAATATCACCATCTCGTAGTCCAGAATTCGCCTGAGTCTCACGTAGAATCCAAGTTTTTCCAATTTCTCTGCATAGGTAAAAAATCTAAATTATACGACAGTTAAAAAAGATCTAAAGATTTCATCTCATCGAAATCAGATATTATGTTATTATTATATTGTTTCTTTTCGTATCGTTTCACTGTGAATAGATCAATAAATTAATTAATCAAAAAAATTGTCTGAGGTTCAGACAAAGACGATTCAACTACTTCATCAAAAATATTTGTTTAACAATATTTAATAGCAGTATATACTATACGCTATAGATAATATTAGACATAACGTGCAACGAATATTAGTTATTGTATTTCTAGTAAAATATAAATGGAAAAAATCAGGTTTTTAAATAATATAATAAATTGATACAATATCCAAGTATGAGATAATTGAGTTCATTTATTTCATAATAATTAAAACATTTTATTCGTGAATTTTAATTTACGTCGTTATGCCCGGCGTTATGAGTAGGCAATATGGCTACATCCAGTTCTTGGAAAGGTAGCTAGATAATAGTTGTAGTATGTAATAGGCATCGCTTATAATACATTATTGTACCTCTACTACATTCGATTTCGTTAATTAATTGTATTATTTTACAAAACATAAAACAAATGTTTATTTTTTTTAAAGTTGTAGATAATGGTTTATTTAATTATCATGCATATAATAGAAACGTAAACATTAAATACTTCAATACATTCCTAGAAACGGTTTGTAGATCCGATTCCTCCAACAAGCGGGCTAGCCAATGATGGTTTACGAAAATTCATAAAAATAAAATAAATCATTTTGAATTTTAATATTTATAATATTATGAATTATGGGTGAATATTTTTATTTTAATATGCTAATTACAGTGGAATTAGCACAGTATGAATAGGATAATATTTATTATAATATACTAATTATTATTAAAAAAATCAAAAAAATATTACATAATGAGCATAGTTAATTAAAAAAACACAATTACAATTTTTTTAACTATATTTATGATTAGGACCGCAATTTGAAAATATTTTTCAAATGTATTGCATACATAAGTGATAAACATAGTGCAGATTAGTGTATAGCATGAAAGTTAACACACGTAAATTGAAACAATATAAAAATTGTACTATTTTTTTTAAGAATTATATGAAAAAATTTCTTTTAATAAATTAAAAATAATCTTATAAGTCTTCAAGTTAGCTTCTACGTTGATGGAGACTAGAAACTCTAATAATATCAAACGGTTGATTGGATCAGTCTCGTACGCGCAAGTAAGATATACAGAACAAATTGCCTGAAAATGTGAACAATAGACGAGACGAAGGAAGGTCCATTTATTTTCTACCAATAAATACAATACTTGAAAGGGTGCTGATTGGCTACCATTATTGTTATGTTAAAGAAAATCACGTAGTACTCCGATACCATTTTTTCTGGTATTTTGTGATTGGATGTCCTTTTTTTTAAGTACATATACAATAATACGGTATAAGTAAATATTTAAATTATAATTAAGGTGAAGTTAGTTTGATATAAAATTAAATCTATAACGATTCAATGACACTTCATACACATATAACTGATAGGGTATGGTACTTGTTTGTCAATTTTTATTATGAATTAATAATGTAATATTTTAAATACATAGTAACCAAGGCTAAGCATTTAAGAGTTGGACAATTATATGTGAAAAACATTGCCAAACTTTGATAATAAAAATAAATAACTAGTATATAATAATATTTTGGTATACACAGTTATTAAAACTACATATCCTTATAACTTTTGCGAAAAGAGGGGGAGGTTTTCAATGGAAATAATAATATTGTATACTACTGCGTGTATTATTATCATAGCAATCGGGTTTAATTAAAACGAGAATGCAAAAAAATATCGAACGTATTGAAATAAAATCAAAAACATAAGAGAGAACGATGCCATAATGGCTCTCTGAACTTCTTTTGTTTTTTTGACGTGAGCTTTGACGGCTATTTTACTATAAGTGTATAATGTACCTATCACTTACCTTTGATATGTTCGACCCTTGTCGTGCGGTGTTTCAAGACTCCGCAGACTTTGGTCGGGCCGTACAGGATGTCAACCGTATACCGGTGACCGTCGTCATTTACCAACAAGCTGTCGGCGATTTTCATTTCTAGTGGTTGCAAAAAGCGAGGCTTCTTACCTCTCAGCCGTAAGTAAAACTCAATAAATAATTTAAAAAACCATTCTTCAAAACGAAATATTGTTACAGATTTATATTGAACAGTCTGCGAATACATAGAAACACAAATGTATAAACACTCAAGCGCACATGGCTAAATAAACAGTAAAATGACTTTTTTTCCTTATCAGTGAACATGTGTCCCAGACTTGAGATAAACGGTAATTTATTGGAATAAATATTAAAAATTATACTGGGGCGTGGGGCCCCATTGTTAAATAATTCATGATAATGATATTTTAGAATTATTTTCGATGGCTATGTTTTCTATGATTATCTCATTTATTCCAAGTTTGTGGAACACTTCAGAACGGCTTAGCTTACATGTCTGTTTATTTGGGTAATACTAGTGCGCAATAATAAAATTAATACAGTTTATAGTATTATGTCTCATGATAGTAGTTCGAATGTTAAGAAGATTGAAAATGGTCAGTTATAAGTAAATGTACCGATATTTTGTCAATCATCGCCAATGGATATCATAACTTTTGAATTTTGACGTTAATCCGTTACTAAAAGATATGCTTGAAATCAATGAGTCCACTTTTTAAAAAATTGTATTCCTCGAACAAAGCTCGTGCAATCTTATATATTATTACTATCTGAAATGCAATTAAGTATCTTGATATGCAGTTCGATCGATCTCAAGGAGAAATATTATTAACAAATTCAAATTTTTGTTCAGAAATCTAATCGCTCTGTCGGATCCATCCGTATAGAAATGATAAAAAGTACACATTACAAAATATGAGCACTGTAAATCGTCTACCGTTCACACCCTCAACTCCGGGGTGTTGACATGTACGTTCGCGTACTGGAGGTCTGGAGCGCTTCACTATTTTTTTTATGACTTTAACACTAGTCGCACACACACACATATGAGCACTTACTAAGCACACACTTACAATACCCGGATGCACGCACTTTTAAAAATTCCTATTTTGAACTTCTTGAAATCGTCCTCTCTAATATATTGATATCTGAATGGGAATAACATACGTTTATGAATTTCGCCACTTTGTTTTGTCATTCGTCAGTCTGAAATGTCATCTTAACGATTATCAACTGTACTGTAATATTATACTCGTGTAATGAACAATACGTTTTTCTCTCAAAATCTACATCTGGGGTGGAGTTGTAAGTTTGTGTGTCGCACAAGTTTTATGTACTTCTGAAATTAGGTTAAATTTTATGGTTATTTTCAAACAAGTTTTTCTTTTTAAATTAAGTGAAATGTATTTACGCACTATACAATTAGCATGCAGATATGTATGCATAATAAATAAGTTCAATATATAATAAGAGTAATAACATTTACTAAGAAGATTCTAAACAGGGCCACCTGGTGTCGACAAGACAAACGACGAAATTAAAAAAAAAATTGTCGTATTCAGATTATGCGTTTTCCGTGAACCTACCTCCTAGGACACATACGACTGCGACTAACGCCGACTTTGCAAACCATTGAACAGGTAATTTTAGACTTCCGATTTCGCAGTAATACAAAATATGTTCACACCGAATTATTATACGCTCACACCGATCGGATCGTGCGTACAACCTGCACCAGTGTACTGCGAAGGTTTTCATGCACTTTTCACACGCTTCCTGCGTTTTGTAACACTTTAAATAATATAATTCTAGAACGATATTCGATTTTTCAATTAAACTCTATCGCGCGTACCTAATATTATGTTATTATAATATAATGGTTATGGTAACATGACGTTTTAATGTACCTATACTAGAGTTTCGAATTATAGAGTTTTTTTTTTATTTTATTAATTCACAAATCTGCTCGATGAAACTCATTGATTACACTTTTTGGAAGAACATTAATTTTATAATGTATTAATTGCTGAATTTAGCAGTCTAAAATCGGAGATTTTAGTGTTCGAATACAACAGTGGCCAAATACAATATACTTTTTTTCACAAAACTACGTAGTTGATCGTCAATGCAAATTCAGACCAAAGATTACCCATTAATAAATAAAAGCCAAATAAAGAGATAAAGTCTTTTTGATATGATGGTACATGCACATTTCATACGTCCGCAGTAGGTGTGTGTTCACAATTTTCACCATCATTTTAACTGATTTGTTCCAAAGATTTTTATTTCCATGTACAAGAGTAATGTTTAAAAATAATCCAGATTCACACCAATTTCAGTCTTACTCAACACGAGTAACACCAAACAAAATATTAAAATTATAATTCATATAGTATTTTTTTAACAGTAGATATTTATATTAATGATAAAATAATCGATGTTATCAAACAACAAATAAGGTACATACGTACGTTGACCGCGTTTGAAATCACTCGTCATTTTTTTTGTTTTTAATTCTTACAATATTTTAATTTTAAAAGTGATTTATGTATAAATATTTTATTCTCGCCGTTCATCAGTATCCGTTCCGCGCCAGAGTTCCGGACAAACCGCACCACAAACTTATTACCTTGAGAGTGAGATGGAATTATTAGCGACAGGTTGCTGGGCGCGGCTGAAGCAAACATAGTTCAGAAGGGCTGCTGATAACAAACGCTGACCTAGGATCTGAACGAGATTAGAACGAGATTCGTACGCACGATTTTCTCAGTGAAAAACAGATTTTCATTTACCAGACACTCAGACACACATCGATTGAACTTATTCTAATAATTTGTACTTACCATTTATATATACTATAATGTACTTTAATGGTATGTACTTTTTTGTACCACCAGCTTTATGGACTTGTATCGTTCGCGAACTCTGATCGTTATTTTTTATTCTTTCGATAGATTATGTTTCAACTTTCAACTGTAAGTACCTGCAAAGTATTTTATACAATCGAGCTGTCCTCCAACCGTATCCGTTCCGCGTCAGAAAACCGGTCGGTCGGACGTCCGCTGACGAACGCCGAGGGTGAGGATCATTATTAGCGAAGAGGGAGGGGCAGAAGGGTGGCTGATAAAAACGTGGACCGCGACAAAGGTCGCTCTCCTCGACGGACCAGGGAGGTGGTCTCCGTGTGAATTTATCCTCGCGGACCGCGGACGCTGACGTTTACGACTCGAGCACGTGTAATTTATATTATATATTTCATACAGCGCACGAGGAGACGTCGAATGCACACGCGTAATATTGTTATGATTGCAGTCGGTCGCGTTGTGTTTTTCGATTAGGTTTCGAAAACGGTTTGAAATCGGGGAAAAGAGGAAAAAAATAACAAATAAATAAACGAAGGGGCTCCCATTGTCGGGCGGCGCGCGCCTCCATATAATATTATTATTATTATTATTGTACATGGGGTACGATACATACTGTCGGGCCTGGCGGTCTTTGTGCACGTCCGATTTATTGGATCGCAGTCCGATTGTCGTTTCGCGGTCGCACAATGCGGTGACGACGACGACGACGATGGAGGTCCAAAAATCGTATAGGAATCGCGTATAGAGAATATATGATATATATATATAATACGCGTATACCCTGCACTACTCGTATATAACAATAATAATAATAATAATAATGCATCGCACGACAATAATACACGAGAAACCGCAAATAGATTCGAATGTCATATTGTACCATTACAGTGGCCGCGACAGCCCGCGCGGAAACGCCTCTTTTTGTTTATTTATATTGTTTTTTACGATTTCCATTGCTCCTGGTCCAAAAGACTCAGCGCTGTCGACGGTGTGTGTGTCTATTCATTGAAACAGCTGACCGTGTTCTCCGGCACCTACCCCCCAGGCCGAATGCCGTCGACCTAAATATCGTCAAGTTCTATCGCGGACGGGGTTATATGGGTACGTACATATAGGTGAGCACAATTGAATCATTATTTTGTTACAACGAAAATTCAACATTAGTATTAGTAAGCACATATTTTGTATTGTTTCGATTCAGTGTTTTAAAGTAACATAATATTTCGGAATATTTTACTAATCTTTGAGAGAGTAAAAGGAGAATATTAAGTTTTTGCACGCAAAGTACCCGTACGACTCCTCCAAATCGCGGACAGACAAGTCGACGACGACGAAGACGTAGACTTGCAGACGGAAATCCGTTGCTCGCGTAACGATATCATACCTCGGCCATTGTCACCGGTGTATATTTTATTTTCTACGCATGCGTGTTGTACTTGTGCGCTTTTTACCCGGCACACATAACATTATAATATAATATAATATAATGTACACTCGGACGACTACACAACCGACGTCGAGACACGTTTTTTGATTACGATAACAACGCGCGGCCCGATGACGGAGCCGATAACGTGCCCGTGTCTCCTTTGTGTCTGCCACGGAACGCTTTTTTTACGGGTCACGTCTGCCTTGGCACACACGCACACACACACACACGCTCACACAGACACACACATATGCCATCTCTCAACAACCCACGTGGGCGCTCGTCGTGAGACAACCGGGTACGGAGCAGTGCACGTGCAACCAGTGGATATAATATGGTTGGCCGGCCACGTACCACTTACCACTTGTGTGTGTGTGTGTATGTGTGTGTGTGTGTGTGTGGAAAACAATAATAATAACGACGACGACGAGGACGATAATACCCTCGGGGTGTATCGGGAGGCTGGGTCGAAAAAATGTACGTTTAGTGTAATACGATATTCGGATTTTCGTATACACACGTATACGTTGTTGTTATTATTATTATATAAAGTATTCGAGAACAATATACCTATACGAGTCCTCGAGACCGAACCGGAGCCGAGACGAATATCGGTCGGGCCCTCAACTGCCATGCTTGGCTGCCGTGAACTTTTCATTATTTGAGATCTCGACTATACTGATAATAATAGTTAGATGTGAATGGGGGGGGGGGGAGAGGGGGCTTGTCAGCTGTGCATTGTACTCGATTTGCTTTAATAGAAAGATTTTGATATCGATATTGAATGTGATTAATCATTTTGTATTTGTTAGTCAATAACCGGCATTTGGGGGGATGGAAGTCTCACTTTTTTTTTTAACCATTACAACTGAAGCTCCTACCTTAAAAATTTGGCATTTTTACGTCTATGTATAGATGTAAAAGTATTATACGTATAACGCTCAAAAACTGCATTTGCTCCAAAATCTCGTGGACCCCTACGCAATAACAATTTCATTCGATAAATATTTTGCTTTTTTAATCCATCCGTTTTTTATGGCACACCGCTACGGTACTGACTTTTTTTTAATAAAAATATAATAAATTTACCTCACATATACACACGCACGCTCTGCCATCCCTTACCTTGGGTCGTAAGACGGTTGATTTCACAACTCTATAATATAATAATATCAATCATCAATCATCATGTAACAACGCGACGACGCGACGTGTGTAGAGTAGTAGAAATATAATTTCATCGATATTTGAGTTGATCGCGACGTGTATTATTGTTGTTGTTATTGATTTTACGGACGATTTTCCGTGTTATTTTTATATGCTTTCTTACTTTACAATTTTACATCTGATCCGATGGCACGGTTCACAGAGCACGAGCATTACAATATATATATACAATAACATTAATATAATTACACTATATACGTACGTGATTTCGAGTGATACGATTACCTACCGCTGCGAAGAAGTGGACCTCGAGGTGTGATCGTTTTACATGATAAGGTGTATAGGTATCTCCCGAGTTCTGTCGCTTCCAAAGTATTTTCAAATCACGCGTACTCAGCCATACCGAACACGACTCGACGGTTGTCGAGATGGACGACGTCAGTTGGCGTTATGGTATAACGTGGTCGGGGATGACCATGGTTATGTTGTATAACGTATATTTACCCTGTAGGTTTAATTACCGTAACCGATGAGGACGGATATTACAATTGAATGCTTAAATAAAATACGTAATACGTTTAAATAACCAATAATTAATTTCAGTTATTCTCAGGTTCTATTGCCGAACTTACAAACAATATACCTACTAACAGAGTAGCAGTCACACCATCTGGGGAGGGGGTGGCAAAGTGTGTTTGGCAGACACGTACTGATTTTTAAATGTTTTAAAAACATTCAAGTATTAAATAATATGGAACCATTCTAAACCATGTACATACATAAATTACAATATGTATTTACTACGATTGTTGAAAAATCACCGAACTGAAAAAGCATTGGTCTGCTTATATTGTTTTGACACCATTATTATAATAGCTCAAATAACACCACCATTGCAGAGTAGGTAGGTAAATTAAGTCTTACAATTGTATTATAGTATATGGCTGCTTCGTATGGTCGAATAGAGTTCAGTCATATCAATAATGTGTACAATGAACTTGCATTGTGAGTGTTACCTTACAGTTAATTGTGTGTAAACATTAAAATATTATCGTATCGGTCAGCAGTTGATCGTGTCGTGTCTGTAATGTAGAATTTATATAATATATACACAGGTGTCGAGTAACATAATTATTACAAATTGATATATTACGGTAGTTTAATATACGAGTATTGTGACGATTGCTGCATGGACAAAAGACTTTATTGTATTATGTCGTTGGTATTTGACTAGTATAAAATCAGTAGTGTTTTACTATTATTGTTAATATTTTAACACAATGGACATATTGTTCTATCAATTTGTTATTGTTTTATAATCATTCGTATTTAGTCTTTCACGGAAAAATAATCTATTGGTGTGGATAAAGTGTTACTAACTCCAGATTATATACAAGACGAGTTTTCCTTTTTTGATGCGATAACATACGCTAAGAATTTAATAATAACAATGCAATTTTTAATCAACCAAACGTGTTTTTTATCATTCAACTCAATAAAAATAAACAATATTTTTATTATGACACAAGCCATAACTCATAACACTTAAAAATGAAAACTATCATGAAAAACCTTACAAATTATAGAAAACACAACAATATTGCAGATAAAACAAGTACCTCTAAATAATAATAGTAAAAAAAAAATTAAATTAAATACACTTGAGAACTAGACATACTTTGTTGGTATAACCTTGCAATGGACGATAACTTATATAACGCCTATGAATGTCCATGTGTCACACCGAAAAACGTCATCGAACTTGTAAAAAGAAGTCTTCACGGTGCTTACACACCGCCGCCGCCGCCGGATTCAAGCGTCACCGGTCAAAAGTATCCACCCTTTTCGAAGTAACCACCACCGCCAGCATCTGCGTGCCCGTACTTCTCACCCTCCTTGACACCACCCTTCTTGGCGTATTCAGACTGTTGGCCGTGGTGAGCCTGCTCACCGGCCTCGGACTTGTGGCCCTTGGCCTGTTCGTACTTCTTGCCGTGATCGCTCTCCGCTTTCTTCGTACCGTGGCTTTCGTGATAGCCGGTATCAGAGTGACCCTTCTTCTCGTTTCCGCCCTTCTCCTTGGCGTGCTTCTCACTTTCATGCTTGTGTTCTTCGTGCTCTCCACCGTCGTGCGACTCGTCGTAGAACACTTCGTCCTTCTTGTACTCGTCCTTGTGGTGCACCTTGTGGAATCCGGACGTTTTCTTGCCCTTCTTGTGGCCGCCCTTTTTCACCACCGAGATTCCCTTTTCGCCGTGGTTTCCGTGGTATGCCTCACCAAAATGCTGTGCCTGGTCCACATGACCCTTCTTCTCGCCCGCCTTCTCGGCCACCTGCGAGTGCTTCTCATCGCTGCCGTAATCTTCTTTCTCACCTTTGTCGTAGGCTTCCTCCTTCTTGAAAGCCTTTTCCGCCTTTTCACCCTCCTCTGACTTGTGGCCCTCCAAGAACTTCTGGCCCTGCTCCTTGTCGTAATGCTTCTCCTTGTCGTATTCACTGCCACCTCCGTAACCGCCACCGCCGTGGCCTATGTACCGGCTACCTTCGTCTTTCAGGTCACTGGATATCTTGCTTTCAGCCGGCCGCTCTTCGACGATTTCCTTAATGTTTCTGGGCGCCGGTTTCGGCTCTTTGGCGTTCCTGGGTGCCGATTTCGATTCCTCCAATGACTCCTCGTCCACGTCCTCGGTTTGTGGCTTCTTAGGCTTATATTTCTTTCGGTTAGCAGGCGTCAAGTCCGTCCGACGGTGATCGGGCACCAGTATCGAGTCCAAGTCTTCGTCCCGGTCCTCGGCATCAGTCGCAGGTGGTTTCGTCTGCCGCCGTTCTTCGGGGAACCTGAATGGTTTTGGTCCCGGTACTTCTCCAGCATGAAGTCCGCCCCTAGTTGACGGGTGCTTATTATACGCCCGGTACTCGGAGTGTTCTGGTTCTGAATCCCGGTGCGCATTCCTTGATCTATACGAGTTATACTCTCTGCGGGGTACCTTTGACGTTTCCACTACACTGTACGAGCTACTCACTCCAGACGTGTCACCAACCGGAAGTATTTCCACGTTGGAACCCAGGCCCAGGTACGAGTTCTGCAGCTGTCGCTTTTGACGGGCCACCACCGACACGGATGTGACGGCGAGGAGCGGCCACACGGCGACGATCATCGCGGCACACCGTAGAGCCAACATTGCAATGATCGCTAAGCGCGCTGACCAATGTAGCGTCTGTCAAATTGTGCGCGAAACGAGTGAATGCAAACGATCGACAACGACGACGATGATGATGATGATGAAAACGACGACTGAATTGTGATCGATAACAGCTGATAAACGTTTTCGAACGATTATTCCGATATTAACTGTCCCGAACGGTGTTGAACGTGTACTGACGATGCGTGTCAGATTTTCTACTTATAAGTTTACCGGACGTCCCCCTGCAGCGAGCGACGACGGTCGTTGATTCGAGACGAATCGGTTGCGAAATCCGTCGGAAAAATTCCCGACGAGAAATCATCCATAAGTCGTGACAAGGACGAACGTTTAGGTTTTTCTCCGTACCAACCGCCGCCACCGACTGCACCGCGTTTTCCAGGGTCGTGCGTATGAGGTTACCCGCGTGTAATATATCTGCAGCAGTGCACGCACATAACGATACTCAATAATAATGTATCGTTTATACGGCCGTTTTCCTTCTCTGGGGAAAGCGAACAGTATAGCTACACCGAGATCTTCAAGGGTAAGCTCGTGTCCGCCGATGCATTGCACGAGCCTTGGACCATCCGATGGACCGTATAATAGTTAATAACATATTATAATCAATCTTCACCCACTCGTTTCATCGGCCATCGTAGCATAATATAATTGTTATCATGACACACGGCCTACTAATTTAAACCGTAAGGCAAAACGAAAGTCATGTTTTTTTAAATCAAAATTCCAATAAGACCGTACTAGTATTCTTTATTTTAATTTATTTACAACGATAGTGAGAAGAAGTATATTATATTATAACATAATGTATTTTAACATAAAGAAGAATTGAAATAACATATTAGAATAATATCACAATGATAACGATCTGGTAGGTACGAAGCTCTCATTTATTAATATGCATCGCATATGCATCATTCTTGATATGGATGTTTTTGTGGAAAAGCTAGACTGACTTGCTGATATTATGTAAAATGTGCTCTGAAATCTAGTATTGATAGAAACATGGAGTTCTAAGCCGCCCAAGAAACGAGGCTCGTTAATTTCATAATATTGTATGATTATCCAAGTGTAAACGATAGCTAAGGGTCCGGCGTCTAGATGATAGCGAATTGAGACCAAGCACCTAATTTACAGGTTGATAACCGTGGGCTGATGAACTATATATTATATTGTATGCATTTCGGCCCCACTCATGAGACTGCATATAATTATCACTTGATCGTATACAATAATTGTATAGCGAGATGGAATCTGTTTTAAACATACCTAGGTACCTAATAATATTGTTATGTTTAACTCTTTTTTAATTGTATCACTTCGTCGCGCTTTATGGCGTGGCGACTCGCGTACGCACCGATAACGATGGTTTGTGTTTATAAATTAATATTTTCCGGTCGACGGCATTTTTTCGACGACCACTCGTAACGAAACTGATTGCATCGCGGAGTTCGATCGCTTGCACGTGCAAGTAGTAGTTGTATAGATAACAAAAACATACTTAATTTTTTGTTTTTTTTTTTGTTTATTATACGTCCCATATGGTCTTGACGTTTAATCGAGAGGTATTTGCATAATGATAGGCCACCGCGCGACATACGCTTGAAAATAAATAGACTGCAACACGCGGCTCGTACATCACAGACGAATTACTGCTGTTATTAATGCACATGTAGGTGTACCTACGTATAACATACACGCGCGTGTCGGACACCCGGTGTACAATAATAATATCGTGTTATGATAAATGCACACACGCGCCGCGGCGATCCGAAAAAAATTAAATAAAGTCGAAACTTAACCCTTTTGGCCGCCTCCGTTTAATAATACCACCATCTCGCGTCCGTCCGCGTCACCTGACAGCATAATTGCCCGTGAAGCAATTTGCCGTGGAAAATTCAATCGTGTTCAGCAGAGTATTAAGCGGCGGGCAAGTGGACGGGGAGTGTAATATTGTCATAAGTGTGTTTTAGAAAAATAAAATAATATATACCGTCGTGTGCATCGCGTTCTGTCGGGTAATGTTAATAAATTATCGTATTGTTATTAATTATTATAATACAATATTATCAAATGTCAGTAGAGCATGACCTCGAAATGTTGCCGCTCTGACGATGACACATCACTGGCACATACTCGTGGTCATCGCCGAAATGTAAGTCCACGTCCTTAAAATATTATGTATATTATTTTATTTTTGAAGTGCATGATGTCCGCGCGTGTCCGGGGCTGTGTTTAATCGTCGTTGTTATGATAAAACAATCGATTGCGCACTTGCACATAACGGAAAGTAGATCGTAGGTAGGTATCTTTATATTATACAACAATTATAATATAATCATATGGTCTCGTAGTTCCGAGAGAAAAGAAAAAATGATTAACGATCGCCGTACCATTGTAATATTGTTAAGTTGCTATGTATGTCGTACAATGTGATTTTGCATCTAAAAATGATAAGTTTATTCGATTTTATAAATCCAATTGTCCGCGAATAAAAAATAAAACTAATTAATCGTATATTATAAAGCCAAAATGTATAATAGGTATGTCTGAGTAAAATACGTCTTGTTGTTCAGACTTCATTGACTAATAATTGGCTTTTGAGTGTTAGCAGCCAGTCATTATTTCACGACTAATAAATTGCGCGTAACCGCTTTGGTGACTTTGGTACGTTACACTCTTCGGTGACATTTGAATGCAACGAGTGTCCTGTCCACGCGCTTGTCGGCATCTGTATAATGTGCTGCCAGGACTACGCAGTTTTCCTGCGATATCGACTTGCGTGCGTGTGTGGACGCAGAGCGTAATGCCTGTGTCATTACGACAGCCAAAACGGTACTAATTAATGCGACTTACACACCGCCCCCCCCCCCCGAATGGAGCAGCTGCCAGACGTCGTATGCATTGTAATAACATCATTCGGACGAACGGCATAATAATAACAATGTCAACAGTATAGTATAATGTCAATGTAAACGATGATATTATGGTGAACGGTTTGGATTTCGGTGTCCACTGCGGCTGCTCCTCGCGACATCGCACTACGTCGGCGGAGACGCATCGGAAATCAGTCTCCGGGGAGGTGAGGGGGATCTCTCGGGGACCCGCGCACGTTCGAGGGGACGATTTGATTATCATCGCGAACGCAGTCGACCGGGTGGTGCGTTGCTCGCACGACGTTATGATCGTACACACACACAATATGACAAAATATATTACAAATCGTCAGCGCCGGCCAGTGGCCGCAGTATCAATAAAACAGTGTGCGCTGTGTGGTGCGGTTTGCGTGTGTGCTGGAGCGACTCGTGTAATTGATGTTTTTCGGACGGCAGACGAGTGCAAGTGTGCGTGTCTGTGCGTGCGATATTGCATGTGCATATTATAACAATATTATAATGACGGTGTACGTCCGACGCGAGCGCACGCGGTGAATATAATTAGCCGCCGAATATTATAATATTATTAATAACAATGTGTGTATACTCGTGTACGTCAGATGTTTTCCACGTGGGGGGGGGGGGGTAGGGTTTGCGTGCGGTCCGCGATGACCGCCGGGGAGGAACAGCGCGACACGCCGGTCGGGGCTGACCGCCGCGGGGTCCGAGCTCACCCCCCCCCCCCGGAAGGGTTATAGAGGTGAATCCTGCGGCCGAAGAGTTGTTTTCCTACGCGCGTTACACTGCACGCTTTTTGTGTATGTATTCTATTAAAACCATCGGTGTTTTTACAATATACGCGCGTAGCGTATATTATTATAATATGTGTTTCGGTGGTCGGTTTTGTTTGCACAGCGACGCCACATGCACCGCGTATTATACATATTTTATAATATTATTATTATTTTAGTCGTGAAACAATAAACTGTGGTGAGTACGATATAAGAACGCTTAACGCGACGACGACGGCGGCGGCGGCGGCGTATAAAAACTTCCGGCCGCCGGATATCACGATATAATATTAATTATGATGAACTCGTGTGGGTGTGTGATTTTCGAGGTCCGAAATGTGAAGTGTGTACTTACGCGATAGACCGCTGCAAGTGTACGGGTAACACGCCTTTTCAGCAATATACGTCATAATCGTCGGTTAAAATTTGTATTTACGAACGACGGGAAGATAATATACTCACTCCTCTAGTGCTCTGCACAGTCAAATTGGAGGAACGTGCTCGTAGAAACATCAATATTAATCAAGTCATTTTCACACATTTAAATTTTTTACTTGAAAAGACTCTCGGCGACATGGACGTGCAATGTACAAGGGTTTTCTTTATGAGTCTTCATTTAAAATTCTAATTACACGTTCTTAATATTATACATAATACATTGAGTCCTATCCTCTTAGAGGCTTTCCGGTTTTTGCAGATTGAAGTTTGGTATGATGTATTTGATGATGTTGGTCGCTGACTGCAGATGATGATTGTTGTGTAGCATTTCAGCTATTGATTCTGAGAGATTGGAACTTGTTCTGGTGTCGTGATATATATAGGGGGGGGGAGAGGGCCGGTACTTTAATGTGATCAATTATTAAGTATTTTTAAAATTACTTCAAATTTTCTTGGTATCTCGATAGGGAACGCACAATTGTCGATGTTGTGTTCAATTTTATTCAATTTAGTAGAGTAGAATATGACCATTTCTGATACCATCTTAGTTAAATTTTATATTTTATTACAATAGATTTTGGTTCCCGTGATATTTAACAAAAGCTGGCAGTTTTATAAATATTATTATATTTTATTGAATTTATAAACTTAAAAATTACTTTCAATAATCAGTTATGATTATGTTAAACAATCTGAATTGTCATTAGAAATTTGAAAATATACTATAAAAAAAATATTAATTTACCACTGCGGTTATATGAGCTAATATTATTAAAACCAATTAGGTATAAACCAATTATCAAATCGAGGTTCTAGTCTAGACAATCAGATCACTTATTTGCTTCATAACTTAGTGTGTATCCGTTTAAAATTCGAAAGATGCATGGTGTATTATTATCTTATTGTCTCAACGACTTTATAATCATATTATGGTACATTGTGAATGCATTTTACTATTTACACGTATAAACTGGAGTAAAATTATTTTATACTTTTAAACTTGTATGCGTTTTCCATCTGCAGGGTTATAAATGTCTGAACTGGAAGGACCTTTTAATATCCATTTAAA